GGGGGGAAGAGCCAGAGTCTCCACGCTTGAGCTTCCCTTGTAATCCAGGGACAGAACGATGTCCTAGGTCAGGTGGGGGCGACCGGACAGATGGACAAAGTGTAGGGGACAGAGCTACAGCGAGGTGGTCAGAAAGGGGCCCAAAGGAGAGCCAGGGAGTGAACTGCTGGCTGGCTGGGTGTGTCTCAGGGACAGGATGGAGACAGGTGGCTCTGGGCAGGCTAGCAGGGGGCATTCGGGACATAGCCCTGGGGAGGGCCCGCCAAAGGGCAGCCCCGCCGATGGAGAGCAGATGGTAGGCATAGGGGCCAGTGTGACCCCTGGGCCTTTGCAGGAACCCCCAGGAGAGAGGAGAGGAGAGGCGTAAGGGGCGGGTGACAGCTTGCACGCCTGTGCGTATGCACACAGACCCTAGCGCAAGTCTCTTTCACTGCTGCCGTCCGACGTCTCTCATGTTCATGGGCTACTTGTGTTTATTTCCCCTCTTCTCAGTTGCCTTTTAAGAGCTTCCACTCATTTTCCTCTTGGCTTCTCCTTTCTCCGGTGGGGCCCGAAGTGGCCGAGGCCGCTTTGTCCCACGCTCTGTTTCTCTCTTCCCTGTTTGTTTGCCTCTGAGATCTGTCGGTGGCATTTCGTTTCATGTTTTACCAGTCACGGCCGAAAGTTTCACTTCGTCACATCCTTTATCGCTGGCCTGTGTGGCCTCGGCCGCGGCAGAGCCGGGGGGTCACCGGGCCGTGCGTCACGAGCCAGCAGGCCCTTGGTAGGAAGCTGGCAGAGGTTCAAATCCACTCGGAGGCTCCCTAATCTCTCCCTTGGGTTCTCTCCCCTTCATGAGAACTCGTTTGGGAAGTGGCTTGTGGCAGGTCACCCGGAGGTAGAACGGGCCGCTGGACTCGAGCGGGCAGACTCATCACCAGCCAGAAACCTCTCAGTTACTTTCCTTACTGGGTCTCATGTTGTGATTATCTTTGTCTACAAAGAAAACCTGGGGGTGCCTGGGGGGCTCAGTCGGTTGAGCGTCTGACTTTGGCTCAGGTTATGGTCTCACGGTTCATGGGTTAGTTCGAGCCCCGCGTTGGTCTCTGTGCTGATATGACAGCTCAGAGCCCGGTGCCCGCTTCAGATTCTGTGTCTCCCTCTCTCTCTGCCCCTTCCCCACTCGTGCTCTGTCTCACTCTCGAAAATAAATAATAAAACTTTTTAAAAAATTTATTTTAATAAAAAAAGAAAACTTGAAATTGGCTACGTACTTTGCGGTTCTGTTTTAAAGTTTTTTTTTTTAAAGATTTTTAAATTTTTTTAAATCTTTATTTATTTCTGAGAGAGAGAGAGAGACAGCGTGAACAGGGGAGGGTCAGAGAGAGAAGGAGACACAGAATCGGAAGCAGGCTCCAGGCTCCAAGCTAGCTGTCAGCACAGAGCCCGATGCGGGGCTCGAACCCACAAACCGTGAGATCATGACCTGAGCCAAAGTCGGACGCTTAACCGACTGAGCCACCAAGGCACCCCTAAAGCTTTGTTTTTAGGTTCGTTTATTTTGAGAGAGATAGAGATAGTGTGGGTGGGGGAGGGGCAGAGAGAGAGACAGAGGATCCTAAGCAGGTTCCACACTACCAGCTTGGAGCCCAGTGGGCTCGAACTCACAAGACAGGGAGATCATGACCTGAGCCGAAACCAAGAGCTGGACGCTCAGCAGACTGAGCCCCCCAGGAGCCCCAAGGTTCTATATTATTTTATTTTTAAATTTTTTTAATGTTTATTTTTGAGGGAGAGAAAGAGACCAGTATAAGCAGGGAGGGGCTGAGAGAGGGAGACACAATCTGAAGCAGCTCCAGGTTCCGAGCTGTCGGCACAGAGCCCGACGCGGGGCTCGAACCCACAAATCATGAGATCATGACCTGAGCTGAAGTCGGACGCTGTACAGACTGAGCCGCCCAGGCGCCCCCGAGGTTCTGTTTCAAATGTAGCCTGTATTCCTTTCTTAGGGCTGCTGTAACAGGTGCCACAGACCAGGCAGCTTAAACAGCAGGAATTGATTCTCTCCCAATTCTTGAGCCTGGAAACCCGAGGTCAGGCTGTGTGCAGGCTCCTTTCCCCCTCAGGGCCGTGCGGGGACGGGTGTTCGAGGCCTTACCCCTTGGCTCGCTGATGGCCGTCTTCTTGTATCTTCACTTTGTCTTCCCTCTGTGTGTTTCCAAGTGCCAGGAGCGGCGCCTGCCAGGGGGCTCCGTCGGTTAAGCGCCCGACTTCAGCTCAGGTCATGATCTCGTGGTTCGTGGGTTCGAGCCCGCATCGGGCTCTGCGCTGCCAGCACAGAGCCTATTTTGGATCCTCTGTCTCTGTCTCTCTCTCTCTCAAAAATAAACACAAAAGAGAAATAAGTGCTGGTAACATGGTTCCTGGTGGGCGATCGGAAACGCTGCAGGCAATCTGGGAGGTGCTGTCCTTGTGAGGCTCCGGGCGCCCCTGCCTGAGACCCAGGGTTCGCTGTTTCCCGGGGCAGCGGCAGGCGAACAGAGGGTGAAGTCAGCTTTGTTAATGTTGGCATCGGCATAGTGGGTGGGAGATGCGCAAGGACCCTCCCCTGGCCCCTGGGCCCTGGTGTGGAAGGACCCGCGTGCTGGAGTTATGCCTCTGAGTAGAGGGTAAGGCACAGGGATGTTCTCCTGGGGGGCGGGGGAGGGCAGTGCCCCTGCCCCTGTTTGGTAATGTCCAGAGACAGTTTTCTTTGCGACAGCTTAGGGAGGGGGCGGTTTACTTGGCTGGGCGCCCCTCGCAAGCTAGGAGCTGCATTTCTGTGACCTGCGATGGAGTGGGGACGCAGGTGTGACCGTGCAGGACTTGGGGGTGTTTCTGTAGCCTGGGCCCGGCCAGCCCCACAGGGGACCCGATCCGGCTGCTTCACCTTCATGGGAGCTTGTCCGGGCCTCCGTAACCCTGCACCCTGATAAATGCGCCAAGCAGGTCTGAACGGCTTGGACAGCAACCTGCCGCCCAAAGATCAGAACAGGCTGGGCGGTTCACAAACCTGAAGACCAATCCAGATAGACACACACATGGCCGGAAGGCAATGGGCTTGACGGGGGACAGCTCGCCACAGGGTCTGCAGAAGCTGCAGCTCACCCTGGGCCACCAAAATGACAGTTGACTTAGCAAGTAAATCAAGGCATCGGATGACACATTATCTATTCACTATTTGAGCGCCTCAGTTCCTTAAACAACACCGAGGGCACTCTTTGCCACTTCTGGGGTTCAGAGACATGAAGTCATGGCCAAGGTCACCAAACACATGCATCCAGCCAGAGCAGGGTTCAAGGCAGGCAGCCCCGTGGCCTGAGCTTTTGGCCGCCTCCAGGGGCCCGCATCACCTGGCGTGGGGTCCGAGGCGCCGGGGACTGGAGCGGACCATTCTGTCCGGAAGGCTGGCGGCAGGCGAGGCGGCTGCGGGTGCACCAAGCCGTGTGCAGTGGGGGCAGGCACAGACCCGCCTCCTGGTCGGGGCGTTGGGGTCGCCCCGCTCTCGGCCTCCACGCTGGTCGGTGGCGGCGTGCTCACTGCCCTCCCCCCTCCGCCCCCCCCAGTTCCCAGACATCGTGGAGTTCAGCGAGTCTATGGCCAACGCGGGGAAGACCGTGATCGTGGCTGCCCTGGATGGCACCTTCCAGAGGAAGGTGAGTGGTCGGACCCCGGGCCTGGGAAGGGGTCTGGGGGGAGAAAGGGGCCTGGGCAGCAGGAGGGACCTTTTCTGGCGAGGCGATGCCCCTTGGATGACTGGAGCCCAGCGCCGGGGGGGGGGGGCACTCAGGTGAGCCGGCCCCAGCGCCCCCGCCCCCCATCCCTGGGTGCCTGGATGCTGAGGGTGGCTCAGGGCTTGGCGGAGGGCAAGGTCAAGGCAAAGTTTCCCCTTGCCGGAGCTGGGGAGTCCGGGGGTTTTGGGGAGATGTGCGCCCAGCGGCTGTCTCCCGGGCGCAGGCCTTCGGGGCCATCCTGAACCTGGTGCCCCTGGCCGAGAGCGTGGTGAAGCTGACGGCCGTGTGCATGCAGTGCTACCGGGAGGCCGCCTACACCAAGAGGCTGGGCGCCGAGACCGAGGTAGCGCCCCGCACGGTGGGGGGGGGGGGTCCCCGCGGGCGCCGCGCGGCCTCAGCCCCGCCCTCTGCGTCCCCGCGCGCAGGTCGAGGTGATCGGAGGCGCGGACAAGTACCACTCCGTGTGCCGCCTGTGCTACTTCAAGAAGGCCTCGGGGCCGCCCGGCGGGCTGGACGGCAGGGAGAACAAGGAGAACCGCCCGGTGCCGGTGCCGGTGCCGGTGCCGGTGCCGGTGCCGGGGGCCCGGAAGCTGTTCGCGCCTCTCCAGGTCCTGCCGCGCAGCTCGGCCGACTGAGCGCCTGGAAGCCCCGGCCCCTCCCGCTGCCGCCCCCTGGCGGACGCCCGCGTCCTGCGCGCCGGCCTTTCCGGAGGAGGAAGTGGGGGCGGGGCGGCGGGGGGGGGGATGGAACTTTCTGCCTCGTGCAGCGCACTTTCCCCGGGCTGGTGGTCCGCACATCCCGTTTCCCCGTTTCCTGCTCGCCGGCCCTTCTTGGTTCCCCTTCCCGGCTGCTGGTCCACCCTGAGCTCGGGGTCTGGCCACCGCAGACACCCGCCCCTCCTCCTGTGGGGTGGGGGGCAGGGCCACACACTGGCGACACTTCTTCCCCCTTGTGGCTTTCACTGTTGAGTTTCTGTTCTCGCTGGGAAGTCCGTTCACCAGTACCTCCCGCTCAGCACGGAGCCTCATCCCACGCAGAAACTTCTGCCTGCCTGGGAAGGGCTCCTGGCCCCCGAGGGTGGCTGGACTTGGGCCCTCTGGCTTCCCTTTCGGCCAAAAGCCCTTCCTCCTCGCTGGTGGTCATTTTCTCCAGAATGACAGCTTCTCACATGGGGGACACGGACCCCGCTGGAGCCCAGATCCCAGGGGCTTGTCTTTTAAAGGGGGGGGTAGGCGCAGAGGTAGCTGGGGACAGGGTCTATGATTCTGTTGTAGTGTGTGAAATTAATAACTAATATTAAATTTTACTGGTTGGCGAGAGCACATTTGTCTTTAACTGCCTGGGATGCCCTTGGTCTCCCTGTAGACAGCTCTGATGTGACACGGGTGAGGATTTCTTCCAGATCTTTTTCTAGTCCCTTAGCCAAGCACTTTAACTGAGAAGCACCACGAAGCATGTCCTAACATTGCTTGCTCTTCCATCTGGACAGGTTTAGGACAAAATGGGTGGACGGAGGAGCCTAGGGTCCGGATGGAATGACAAGGCTGTAGTTAGGGCTGCCAGCTGGGGCTGTGGGGTCAGGTTTTGTTTGTGAAACAGACACTTGATAGTTCAGGAGCCCAGAAGACTAGCGCGGCTGTACCTTGTAAAATGGGCCGTCAGCAGCTTGCGTGGAAGCAAGAACCCGCCGGGGTTGGGTGTACCCACCTGTGGAGATGGGCCTCCCCGCCCCAGCTTGCCTCTCCCCTTCGCTGGATGCCAGCTTGCTAGTGGCTGGTCCCGAATTACAGTGAAGTGTCTGCAGAACTCTATTAGAGGATACTCGATTTTGAAACTAACAGGCCCAGTCTGACGGTTCTTGCTGTTGCTGCTCCAAAAGGGAAGTGAGGTGCTTTAGGGGCCCTGGCCTTTCCTGCCAGAGCCGGGCTCGCTCCCTCGGGGTGGGCCATCCTGGGACGGGCTCTGGAGGCGCTAACCTCCATCTGCTGGGAGCAGAGGACTCTGGCCCCTGCTGGAGCACTCTGCTCCACAAGGAGGGTTGGGGAGGAAAGGGTTACCAGGGCAGGGGTGGCTCCCAGGTGCCCCCACCCCAACTCCAGCAAGGGCACCGCAGGGCCCTGGCGAGGCAGTCCAGAAAAACTGCCTTGTTTACAAGCTGAGCACAGTTGCTATTTTAAGATGCTGATGGTGGCAGAGTGAGGAATGAGACCCCAGACGTGCGCGTGCGCTGGTCATGCCGGAGGCGCAGACTGCCGTGACTTCACAACACAAGTTCACAGAGCACCCCCTCTCCCAGGGTGTGCCCCAGAGTGGAATATCTCCTCAGCCCCTAGGCTGAGCCCCAACTAATGACCCTGGAGATTATGAACAAGAAAAACATTTATTCTGTCTTCAAATCAGTCTAATAGAACCAAGGGTCTGCATCTTACCCCCAAGGCTTTTTAATACATTCAGAACAGCCCAGGGGCTGTGGGTGCACCCCACACCTATCAGTGGCAGAGTATTTACATAAAGCTGGGTGTTTTCCGTCAGGCAAGGCCCCTCCCTGTTGCCAAGGGCTGGGAGCAAGGGGCAGGGAATGCTGCCCGGTGCCCCCTGGGGTGGGCATCCAGCCGCCAGGCAGGCGGGCAGGCAGCCCGGAGGCACTGGCACGGAGCAATGACCCGAGATCCAGGAGCGAGCAGCTGCTGTAGCAGTGAGTGCAGGGCTGCCGGCTCCCAGAGCAGGCAGGGGGCCGGGGGTGCGGCGGGGCCGGGGCGTGGGGAACAAACCTGAGTGAGGAGGAGAGGGGGCCCTGGCCCCGCAGCCTCGTCTTTGGCATAGAACCCCGAGTTAGCAGCGGCCACCAGGGCCCGGCTCCTTTGGGCTGGGGAGAAGCTAAGGCACTTAAAGCAGCGTGTCGGGCACTTGTCGCTATTCCAGCTGGGGTTGTGGGTCATTACAAGCAAGAACAAAACACATCTGGCTAAAAACCCTTTCCTAAAAAAATGCCCTTGAGTAGTGGGTGGGCGAAGCCCTTGCTAGAGGGAGGCCGGCAGCCAGAGCCGGGGAGGCTGGGGAGGCGGGGGGGCTCTCCGGGCTGTGCGCGGCTCCGACTGGCACCGGACAGGGGACAGGGTGAGGGGGCCGTGGCCCCAGGAGGCGAGGTGAGGCTCGCAGAGGAGTCCAGCATAGCACAGAGGCCCCCGAGCGCCCTCTCCACCCCCTTACCGGCCCGGCTGTGGCTCAGTACACAGGGGGCGGCTGGTAGCCCTCGGTGGTCTCGGCGTTCTGGGTGAAGGGTGGTTGCTGGTAGTTGTCCACGGCCGCGCCGGGGTAGGAGGCGTAGGCGGTGCTGGGGTCTGGAGTGGGGTCCACGTAGTTCTGGACGAAGTCGTCCACTCCGGCCTTGTAGCGCTGGTAGGCCAGGGAGGCCAGCACGCCCTGCGGGGAGACCCCAGGTTTGGGGTCCTCAGCCCGCCGCCCCCGCCTTCTCCAAAGACCCTGCACCCCTGCCCGCCCCCGGCCCACCTACCCAGGAGAAGATGGAGAAGAAGCTGAAGGTGATGGCTGCCCGGGCTGAGTCGGCCCCCACTCGTACGTCCTCCATCTTGGTGGCCGCCCACTGGTTGGTGAGGAAGCAGAAGCCAACGAACCACAGAAAGGTCCAGAAAGCTGGGAAGGGGGCCCGGAGGGCAAGGTCAGCTCCGTGGAGGCAGGGGCTGCCTGGGGACCCAAGAGGAGCTCCCTACGGTGGTGGTGACAGGGAGGCCCCGCGGCAGGGATCTCCCAGGAGCCTCCAGGAGTGAAGGGCACTGCTGCACAAGCCAGGGTGGCGACCTGGCTCGGAAGCCCCGTGACCGTCACTCCAGGCCGGTGGGGCTGCAGCAGACTCCCGAATCCCTGTGCGCGAGCCCGTGTGCGCGAGCCCGCCTGCACAAGCAGGGGCAGCCAAGGGCCCGCAGTCCCAGGAACACTGCCTGGCCCTGTTCACCTCCCCAGAATCAAACGGGGGCGCCGCTGGACGGTACCTGAGAAGAGCAGGTCACCGATGACCAGGTACTTGCGGTCAGTGACGTTGCTGATCTGGGGGAAGTAGGCGTCGACCACGAGGAAGGCGGCCGAGGCCAGGAAGGCCAGCACCCCGACGGCGCAGCCGTAGCCGCACGCGTCCTCGTTACGGTTGAACACGCAGTATCTCTGTCTGGATTCGTGCGTGTTGCTGTAGCCCTCGCCGAAAATGCACGAGAACACGATCAAGGCAAAGACCTGAGGGGATGGGTGGGGGAGGGGGCTGAGCGGTCGCCAGACAACGTGACAGGGACCCTGGGCTCCCCCTGTTCTGTTTTGGGAGGTCAGGCACCAGCCGCCCACCCCCCCCGCCCCCGAACTTGGGAATGAGCTCATAAGCAAGTTGCTTCTGGCTGGCGCCCAGTCCTCACTTCTCCCTACTCCCAGGCCACCTGCAGAGGCCAGCACAGTGGCTGTCACCGGGGGCATGGCGGGGGATTCCTGGACCAGGGGCCGGCGGGGGATGGACGGGGATCTCCTGGGAGGGAATGCCCCACCCCTGCTGCCTGCCAGGAAGGGCCATCGTGGTTCAGTAGGAGACGGGCCACAGAGTCACAGAAAGCCAGGCTTGGAGTCTCACCCCCAGATCACCTTCTGCCTGAGTCACCTCTACAGAGCCCAACCTCTGCCCCAACACCTGGGTGATGGAGGCCTCCCCCCACCTCTCGGGAAAGCCACGCCGGTGTGCTCTGAGCTGAAACCTGTGCCCCCAGACTCCCACTTCTTGGGGACCCTCCAACTCTTTCCTGCTCCGGGCTGGCCTCCCCAGTGGGGCCAGCTTTCTTTCTACAAGGAGTCTTGGCCTCTTTGGCATCCTGACCCTCTCCTCTGAGGGCACCCCAGGCTACTCTGACTGGCAGCCTGTGAATACAGTTCTGCACTCAGAACCCTGGAGGTCCTGGGCCGGGGTGGAAGGGGGTTCACCGGCCACAACTCTGGGAGGGGCTCCAGGTCCAGCCTCATGGCACCTCATCTCCTCCCCAGGCTTCAAGGCCACCACCCATCCCCACCCCATGTCAGCAGATGCAGGACGGTCTGGACACCTGGCTCTCACTAGGACAGGCACAGGCCTCTCCCCTGCCCTGCCCAGACAAGGCCCTCAATATACTCTGAGGCTGACAGGCACAAGCCCCACCCCCAGCTGGAGATGAAGCCGGAACTCCCCGATGCTGGGAGCAGTGTGCCAGCCCCGACTCCTGGCACAGCCATCCCGACACACGGGGCATCTGCTCCTTGGATCAGACCCCACGGTCGGGCAGGGAGGGGGCATGGGGGCCACCAGGGCACTTCGGAAGGCTCCAGTCCCAGGCAGGCATGCTGTGGGCACTCCGGTCCCGGCCCTCTGCCTCCTCACTCTCTCACACCTTGTCCAGCTCTGGGTGCTGATTGTCCCAAATCTTGTGCCACCCCCCCCCACTCCTAACCCCCTCACCTCCAGTAATCTGTTGCTGGAGGGGTCCCCTATCTCACTGGGAAGGGTACATCCTGGGGTCACCTGATCTTGGGTGGGGAAGCAGACTCGTGACCTGCTCCCCGAGTGGAGGGGAGACCTCCTTACCCAACGTGCTTGGGAAAGCCCCTTCCGGGTGAATTCCCCCAGCAGGGAGTCCCAGCACGCTGGCCACCTGTCCTGGAGCAGCCCCAAGCTCCTCCCACCGCCAGCAGGGCGACAGGCCTGCTCCCCCGCGGCGCCTCCGGGCCCTCCCGCGCCGGCCCGGCCGGTGGGGAGCAGTGGGGACCAGGGGAAGCCGGGGGAAGCTGCGGCCCGCGAGTTGGGGTCGGCAGGGCCCGGAGGAGGGAGGGCGGCGGGGTCCGGGCCCCCTCGCCCGCCCCACGCGCGGCCCCCGCACCCCCCACCCCCGGCCTCGGCCGCCGCCACCTGTCGCGCTCGCAGGCTCGCGGCACCCCCTCCCCTGCCCGGGCCCCGGCGGCGGAGTCCGGTTCCCCCGCCCGGCTCCCCACCGGCTCACCAGGCACACGGCGCGCGTCACCACCTGCGGCTGCGTCAGGAAGCGCCGCAGGTCGAAGGAGCCGCCCGCCTTGGCCGCGCCGTAGGCCCCGCTCTCCATGTCGCCGCCGCCGCCGCCGCCGCCGCCGCCGCCGCCGCTGCTGACAGCCTAGCACCCAGCCCCCGCCCCGCCCCCACGAGGCCCCGCCCACCCCAGGCCCCGCCCCCAGGGGCGTGGCCAGCGCGCCCAGGGACCGACGGCAAAATGCGGTCCGCAGCCAGCAGCGAGCGGAGCGCCCCGGACTCTCCGACGGCTGTGCCTAGACGCCTGTGTTCTGGTGGCGGGCAGACAACCGTTGAGCCCACCTCGTGGCGGGGGCCGTGTCCCCCTGCTCCCAGGAAGGGGCCAGGGAGTCCCCAGGAAGAGAGGGAGGCAAGGAGGGCCCGCCCCTTTGCCCCACCCACACTTTGCCCCCTGCCCTCCCACCTCCTCCTCCAAGAAGCCCACCAGATAGATCCCTGTCTGAGACTCCCCTGCCCAGGACCCAGGCTCATAAGCGCCCCCTCTTCTCTCCCCCTTCCATCCTAGACCCCAGGCCGCAGCCTGGACACACTCCGAGACTGGCCTGTCGCTCTTTGCTCCTCTCTGGAGCTAAGCCTGGGTGGCGCCGAGAACCCTCTCCCCAAGTCTTCTGGGGCTGAGCCAGGCCCCAAGGGTGTGTGACTGCAGACTTCCATGCCCAAGACGGTATGCAGGCTGAAACCAAGTCTCCAGGTGACAGGCAGAGTCCAGTCCTCCCCCTGCACCCCCACAGCTTTGGAGCATCTGAACAGGGAAGGCTGAGTGGGGTGCGGTGGGGGCGTGTTCCCTAGGGGCCACGGGCTGCCCGGAAGGGGAGAATTCCAGACACTTTCTGCTAGTTACAGTTAAGGATTAATGAGGGAGTGCTGGCCAGGGGGCTACTCAGAGTCCTCCCAGGTGAGCTGGACAGTGAGAGGTGAGTGGGCGGGGCCAGGGGACCAGGGGACCAGGGGTGGGGGAGGTGACCCTGGTGGGTTGCTGCAGCTGGGCCTTTTCACAGTCTACCCCGCCGTCTCCCCAGACCTGCATGGACGGTGACCAGCAGCAGAGGGGTGAGAACGGGGGCCACACGGAGCCCCCCCCCCCACGGACCTCCCCTTCCATCAGAGCCCACCGCGTCCTAAAATCCTCACATTAGCACCATGCGTGTGCATGGGTCAACACCAGCCTCCACGAATCAGGGCTGGCAGGGTTTTTCTTCATTCAAACGGTGGGTCCTTCTGTAGGGGACAGAGACGGGGGCCCTCCTGAGGCGACTCTGCCCAGCCTGCATCTTCCGGTCACAACCCTGATGACAAAGGAGTTAGGATCCCAGGTTAGGCAAGCACGCTTCTCAGCCACCCCCTCCCAAGGCCTCCAGGAATTTTATGGTGCCAAGCGCATCAGTGCCCTGGGCAGAAGAGGGGTGTGAGGCCTACTCACCCCACTAAGCGAAGAGGGAGGCGCTGAATCACCAAGAGGGCAAGCGTTGGCCCCTGGTCACAGGGCGAGGGAGAGCCCGGTCTCTGTATCCCATTGCGTAAAAGGGAAAACCGAGGCTCAGAGAGGGGACACTGCTCTCCCACGAGTCTGGCCTCCGGGAAGGACAGAGATGGGAGGAAGGGACACAGACAGACGTGAGAGGAAGAGAGAGCCAGGCGTAGACTCCTGGACGGCGGCCACTGGAACAGCTGGCCAGGGAGGGAGGAAGACAACCAGGAGAGGGCAGTGTCTAGAGACCAAGGCAGGTGACAAGTCCCTGGGGCAGAGGTGGCTGGTGCCAAAGCCTCCACAGGTCGACCACGCAGAGGCCTGCGGGGCTTGGGGACAGATGACACAAAGGTCCTGGGGTCACTTTACAAGTCAGAGGCGACTCCAGGAGGTCCAGCCCCTGCCTCTTGTCTCCAGCCGGGAAGCATCGACCTCCCAGGTTCCCATGGAGAACAGAAGCCCCTGATCTACCCTGGTCCCCAGGAGCCTCTCCTCCCCCTCCCGCCCCTCTCCCCCCACGTCCCTCCCCAAACCCACCAGGAATCCAGGTGAGTGCCCCACCCGGAGGCCAACTGACTCCATCACGCAGCTGCACCGAGTGTTGGTCAGGGGCAGATGAGGGCATGGAAGTCCAAGCCCTCGGCAGACACTTGGCACACAGTAGGGCCCTTAATAAACACTTGCAGGGCACGCATGAGCCACGTGGCCCTTCGTTTGCCCTGGAGGCAGCCCTGTCCCACCAACCCGCTACCTGCTGCCTCCGGCCTGGCTCCTGCTGGTCCATACTGGCCACCCGCACTTCTCACCTCGAGGGCTGCCCTGTGAGGGGGCGGGGGAGGGTGCAGGGGGGGCTGGGCTGGGCTCCTCCACCTCCCGATGACCTTCCCAGAAGTGCCAACCGCCCCTCTGGAAACCAAGGGGCCTTCTCGCCCTGGGACACCAGCTTGACCAGGCTGGACTGGACGTTGGTGTCGTTTTCAGCCGGGCTGGGCTGACGTCCGGGTAAGAGGGAAGGAGAAGTTGGCCGACTGCCTGTAGTTTGGTTTCTGCTGCATATGGACCTGCCGGTCTTTCCCAACAAGGCTCTAGGTGACAGGTGGGCTGCCCGATGACACCTGGCAGGAGACCTCTACCCTGGGGCCTGATCTTCCGTCCAGCAAGGTGAAGGTAGCCTGCGGCTGAGACATGGGCTCTGATGCGGAGGGCGAGGTTAGCAAGGCGTGGCGGTGTGACTTTCACACCCTCTCGCCAGCAAATTCCCTCATTTCAAAATGCCTACTGGGGGTGCCTGCGTGGCTCAGTCGGTTGAGCGTCTGACTTTGGCTCAGGGCATGATCTCACGGTTCGTCGTTTCGAGCCCCACGTCAGGCTCTGTGATGACAGCTCAGGGCCTGGAGCCTGCTTCGGATTCTGTGTTTCCCTCTCTCTCTGACCCTCCCCTGCCCATGCTGTCTCTCTTCTCAGAAATAAATAAAAAAATATTTTTAAAAAATTAAAAAAAAATGTCTACTGGGCTTGGAGGCCTAACTGTTATCGCTGCCTCATCCAGGCAGCTTTCTGGATTACTCCCTCTGTCTTATGTCTGGGCTTCAACCCTGCTTGCAGTGTGTACCACACAACGTCACATTTGTTTTTTTTTCTCGTGTGGTATATTCTGGGTTGCCAGACTTTCCAAATAAAAACACAGGATGCACAGTTCAATTTGAATGTCAGGTAAATAGTGAATAATTTTTCGGTATGAATATGTCCTGTGCAAAATTTATCTGGCAACCCCTATTTATAGTCTTTCAATCTTGACTCCTTTACTGGAATACATGTTTCTTCAGAACTGTCACTTAGAAGAATCTGGATTCTAGAATCCCCCAGGGCTTTCAGCCTAATGCTGTGAACAGCCAACCACTACCCTGGTATACTGACAACCTACTAGAAGCTTCCACTGAATCCTTTCTACCCTACTGGTTGGTGTAGGTACCATTATTATTTTTGTTTTGCAGATGAAGTAACCAGGCCCAGAGAGGTTGAGTGATGTGCCCAAGCCCCACATCCTGTTAAGTGTTGAGACTTAAACCCCCATGTAGGACTCCAGATCCTAGGCTCTCCTTCACTAAGCTGGCTCCTCAGGAGGGTTGGGGCAGGGGGCTGGAGGGGCCACCACTGGCCTGGGCAACAGTCCCCTAGTCCCCTCCCCCTCCCCCCTGTGCCTCCCACCAGGGAAGGACACTTGAGTTAAGATCAAGATCGGGGTGGAGAAGTGAGGCTCCTGGGTGGCTCAGTCGGTTGAGCGCTGGGCTCTTGATTTCGGCTCAGGTCCTGATCTCACAGTTTGTGGGTTTGAGCCCCTTGCCAGGCTCTGCGCTGACATTGTGGAGCCTGCTTGGGATTCTCTCTCTCCCTCAAATAAATAAACATTAAAAAAAAATTTTTTTTTTTAAAAAGATCAGGGTAGCCGTGGGAAGAACACGTTTTGGAGCTGGATCGAATAGGGTTTGAAACCAGACTTTGCCACTTGCAAGCCTGGTGGCCTGGGGCGATATTCTTAATCACCACCAGCTTCCTCTACCAGCCGGGGAACCACAAACCCCACCCTCTAGTTGCTGTGTTGTGAAGATTCAACTAGATAAGGCACAAAAAGTGCCTACTTTATCAACTGATGAGGTCCAACTGGTCACTTCCACCTGCCCCAAAGGGCCCCACCGGGAGATCGCGCCCTGGGGCCCAGCCAGGAGCTACACTCTTCTGTGCCCAGGCCTAAGGGCCTCAGAGCAGCCTCAGAGGTGGCCAGCCTGTGCTGTCCCCACCCTCCTGCCTTCCAGCCCCAGACGCTGCCCCTGCCCCCCCCCCCCACTGTACACTCACTACTGGTCCAAAGCTCCCAGTACATCTGCAGCTTAGTGCTGACTTCACGTGAGCCCCAGGGGGTGGACTCCTGGCAGAAATAGGCAAGCAGGTCTGGCCTGGACTTGAACGTGATGTTGATGTTGAAGGAGGCCGGGTCTTGGGTCTCCACCACCTTCTTGGCGGGAGTAAGTGACGGGTGGGGGTGTCTGGGGTGAGTGGCACTGTTATGGGGACCCGCCGGCCTCTGGAGAACCCCCTGGGAGGTCTGAGGGGTGACTTCTGAAGGAAGGAGACCGGCATTCATCAAGGACCTTAAGAAAATGCTGATTTTGTGGTTCCTGAAAAAGTTACGGAGTCGTGTGACCTAGCCTTCCCACTTGTAGATGGGACACCAAAGGAATCAAAAGCGTGGACTCTAACAGATACGCGTGCACCCATGTTCCCAATGTTCCCAGCAGCTCTACTCACAACAGCCAAAAGGCGGAAGTAGCCCACGTGTCCATCAGTAGATGGACGGATAAACGTGTGGTCTGGCCACGCATGGACTAGTCTTCAGCCGTAAAAAGGAGTGATGTTCTGCACACGAGCCTTAAAAACATCGTGCCCAGGGAAAGACGTCAGACACAAAAGGCAACATCTGTTCGATTCCATCCGTGGGCAATCTCCAGAATAGGAAAATCCCGAGACGGAGAGCAGATTGGTGGCTGGTAAAGGCTGGCGGAGGGGGGGAATGGGAAGCGACTGC